ATAGCAGAAGAATCTGGAGCTAAGAACCAAAAGAAACTGCTAGAAATAGTCAACATTGTAACAGAAATGAATAATGCCTTTGATAGGCTCATCATTAGAACAAACATGGCCAAGGAGAGTAGTATCAGTGAACTTGAAGATGCGTCAATAGAAACCTATCAGACTGAAAAAAGGGGGAGGCAAACATCCAAGAACTGTGGGACAATTTCAAAATGTGTAACTTATCATCATGGGAGTATCAAAAACAAAAGAAAGGGAAAACAGAGAAGAAAGAAGTAATAATGGCTGACAACTTTTCAAAATTAATGACAGACACCAAACCACAGACCCAGGAAGCTCAGAGAACATCAAAAGTCAAAAATAAATACCCTTCCCCCAAAAAAAGTCTACACCTCCGCATTTCATCTTAAATCTGTAGAAAGGCAAAGATAAAGAGAAATTTTTGAAAGAAGCCAGAGGAAAAAGCATATTACCTATAGAAGAAAAGAATAAAATTATGGCAGACTTCTTGTGAGAAACTAGGTAAGCCAGAAGAAAGTGGAGTGAAATATTTAAAGTGTTGAAAGAAAAAAAGCCAGCCAACCTGCCCTGTAAGAAATGGGAAGTTCTTCAGGCAAAATGAAAATTATGTCAGTTAGAAGATTGAACTACATAAGAAGAGCATCAGAGAATAAATAAGTGAAGGTGAACAAAATTTTTAATTGTTCTTAATTGATCTGTAGGGTAATTGCTTGTTCAAAGTAATAAATGTCATAGTGTATTGAATGATTACACCACATGGATGAGTGAAATGAATGACAGGAATGTTCTAAGGGCAGAAATGAGAAATTGGGAATGTGTTGTTATCAAATGTCTACACTACACTTGAAGGCAGGCTATCAAATGTCTACACTACACTTGAAGGCAGGCTTGTATTTGGAAAAAAGTTTATATTGTAAACTCTAGGGCAACCATTTAAACATTCGTAAAGAGAATAACTGGCATGCTAAGAGATAAAATAGAATCATAAATTGTTCAAAACTAAAGGAAGACAGAAAAAGGAAGGGATGAAGAGAGGACAAATGCAACAAACAGAAAAGAGTTACAAACATGGTAGATATTCATTCAGTTATATCAACTATCACCTTAAATGTGAAAGGTCATTTCATTTCCTTCTGACTTGCACTGTAAACTAGGAAGTGGATAAGTATTTTAAGGTGCTGATAAGTAGAATACCAAGTCAACAGTTTTGACTTGTTCAAATTGTTTCTTGATCCCAGGGAGAAAAAAAAATAAAGGATATCAATATCTAGTGATCCAAACAGCATATTGTTTCCTAATAAATTCAGAAATCTAGTTGACTTTTTGTATATTGGTGGTCAAATTAAGGTTGGCATGGATTTCCATTGTATGAGGTATTTATTATGAGATTTATCAAATTGATCAAAATTTGGCATGTGCTTGGGATACAAATAAAACATATAGCAATTAAGAAATCAGTCAAATTTTCCTCTCACACCTTATGGTGTAAATTTCTTGCTCCTCAGTCCACAGTAAGAGTATGCTTTACCACCATAGGCATAGGTTTCTCTCACTGCAGACTCTTACTGAAGAGTTTATGAAAGCTCACAGGATTGGTCGGGGAGGGTGGATACTTGGGTTCCAATAGGATTTTTACCACTTACCAGTTGCATGCCCTTGGGCAGGTTATTTAATATATCTGAGTCACTTTGGTCTATCTGTAAAATGGGAATGATAATTACACTTTGTGGTTGTGTGAGGGTTAACTAATACATATAAAATGTCTAACTTGTTAAGTGAGCCAAAAAAAAAAAAAAAGACATTGAGAAAGCACATGTCCTTATACAGGCAATCCTTACCAAGTACACTACGATTCTCTAGAATACAATGAGCTTTCTCCTTGTCCTTCCTGGGATTTGCACACTAGAGACCCAGAAGATATGTCAATTCATGAATCAGTGTAGTCAGCCATGAAGAACAATCAGCAGTGGATTTCGTGATACATATGTGGCATGTAAACTCATAACAATAAATTTTTATATAATTATTTCTAGTTTTTTTAGAAAAAAAAGATCCTATTTTTAGTAAGTGCCAATATATCATTTCCACTTACTCAATTTACTTTCCCTTCCATATGGCAGCAGTCAATAGTCAAAGTTAGTGAAAGGCTGTAACAGTTAAATAAAGACCTATCCAAGGGTTTGGCTCTATTTGCCTAAAGAGGCCACCCCATTTCCCCTGTCCGATACACAAGTTTAAAGCCCCACACAGGAAAAGTTTTACTGGTTTTAATTTCCCTTCCCCCCCCCCCCCCCCCAACCAAAGATGGAGCTTCACTCTTCTGCTGGGGCTGGAGTGCAGTGGCATGATCATGGCTCACTGCAGCCTCTGCCTCCCGGGCTCAAGCGATCCTCCTACCTGTCTTCTAAGAGGCTGGGACCACAGGTGTGCATCACCATGCTGGGTGGGTTAATTTTTGTATTTTTTGTAGAAACAGGGTTTCATATTGATCAGGCTGGTCTTAATCTCCTGGGTTCAAGTGATCAGCCCACCTTGGCTTCCCAAAGTGCCGGAATTACAGGCGTGAGCCACCACACCTGGCCTCTGGTTTTATATTTCTAGCCTCCTTGACACATCCTTTATCAAAGAGACATCTCCACTGTTGAGATTTTCCTTTAGTCACCACATCAGAAATAATAATAACCTTTTTTCTTTGTGAATAGTTCTTTTCCATTTCCACTGGTTATCATAGTACTATTACTCTACTTCTCACTTTGGATTTACTTTTCCTTTCCATCTACACTGGAGAAGCTATATTACTGCCAGGTGTAGGAAGAAAAAAAACAACTTGGTTGAAAATTAGAGAATGCAAAATGTTAGTAAACATTGTTCTAAAGTTTGAATTTAAATTATATGTGACTCTTTTTATATATTAAAAAACTCCATAGAATTTACTGAAGATTAGAATATATTTTAAGGAATCCCAAGAAAAAAAAATCCAGATAATTATTAAAAGTCCCATGTCAAGCAGAAACACTCCATGAAGAAATTCTGAAACTGATTTTCTATCTTGCTTTAATGACTTCATTTATGACTTCTATGGAGAATGTGAACACAGTAGAAATAACAGCCATTTATTTTAAGTATCAGTTTTTATTAAAAAGTGCATCTTGATTAATTTATGATCTAGGTAAGCTGTAAGATACCAGTATACTCTCTGGAATAATAACTTTACAAAGATTTAAAACAAACAAAATTTTAAAAGCCTTTTTATTTCCTTCACCATTATTGTTTTACAATACAAATATCACCTTGTGAATACACAAAAAAATCCTACGGAAGATAATTCTGCTGCACGTAAAATACAGAATGGATATATATACTTCTTCATTCTTAAAAAACTATTTTGTTCTCCACATTGGCAAGTATAGAATAGAATACTTCCCCAAACATACATATGTTAGGAGTAAAACTTAAGAGTTACATGCAGTTTCTGCACAAATATCTTTTAAAGAAATAGATCTCTTTTTTGTTGTTCACCAACAAAATTGTCATGAGAGTATGGATAACCAATTCATAGCTTTCAAGTTTTAGGTAAGTGATCATTTTCAAAACTCTCTTTAAGAAAAGATATTCATGGCTGTTTTCATTGAGTAGTTAAAATCGAACTACCAAATAGACGATAAAATAATTTAAGTGGTACATGTCATTGCTACCTGATCACAATATGTGAACAGGCTCTGACTCTAATTAACAACCTCATTATTTAAGTCATTGCAATTTTAAAACCATAAGCAGTCTTCTGATTCAATTTAGCTATAAATGCAAAATTTAGTAGTGTATACATATATTTATATTTTCATGGAATACTTTATTTTAAATAAAAACATTTAAGATTGCCTACTGACCATACAATCAAGACAAGAAAGGCACTAGAAACATAGACAAATTTCTCTCCCAAGATGCATTTTTAAATTTTAACTCTCTTCTCTCTGACATGTTAAAAATCTTTAAATTTGGTTTTCATAACATCATTTTGAAAAATAAAGTTAGGAAATACTTAGAAAATCACTTTATAACAGAATCTTTTTTTTTTGCACTTTTTGAAACACTGTCTTTGCTGATTTTACAAAACCCAAAGTTACCAAACCTTTCTGTGTCTATCATTTTTATTTGAATATCGGTGCAACAGGTAGAAAGATTTCAGAATCAAACCCCATTCAGGTGCTTAGAAACCTTCATAGAGACATTTGCTAGAAAATGGCTTACAGCCCAATCTTTGGGGCAAGAGATATGAAAAGTATGTTTTCCCAAGAAAATAATACGCTTTATTTCCAGATGTGACTGGAAAGACCAGAACTTATGATATAAAAGCTTACATTTATGCTGTTGCATCATATACAAAGGAACATGGTGGTTGCGGGTTATGTAAATCCCAAACTTATGAACAGGAAATGTGTACAGTGCATGATAGGTTAAATTTTTCTTTATTGTTGTCCAACGCAGGTCCTTTGGAGAGAAAAAAAGATCACAGTGCTGACCAGGTAACTCAATAGGTTAAGTCAAGGTAACCATTGAAAGATAATAGGAATAGGGAGGTGTTTATTTTATGGCATCTTCTCTCATGGAGTTCTTAGCACTTCGGACAATTTGTCTTTTCCCCACTTTGTACAGCTGTTATGTGTCATTCACCAGCCGGCTGTATTTAACTTGCCTACTGAGGTGGACTACTGGCCAGGGGAAAGGCCAATGGTAAGATCGAGGTACAATTCCTTGGACATTCTTTTCAAAGTACTGAAATGGCCTGTACCACCACACCCTGGCCAGGAGGTTCATCTGGGAAGCTTCCTTTAGCACCTAGGATAACAAAGAAACATAAACACATTTCTTACAATCTTTCACTTTAAGTTCAAATACTTGCCATGCTAAAATTCCCAAAGGATCCCATACCTACCCTGCGTGTCCACCCACATATCCTAGCTTCTCTCTGTCACCACCATTCTACACTCCACACTCATCTACAAACTGAGCCACATCTCAGTAGAAAAACAACGCCAATTCTGGGAGGACAAGGAGAACTTATGGCTCACTCATCTCTTGCCTATAAATAAATACCTCAGTTAGCTTTTTAGGTATTCCTCTTCTATGCTAAAAAATATTAACACTTAATTAAATGTTAAGTATTAAGCTTGTGATGTGCCCAGGATAGGGAGAAGAGGGTAGGAAAGTGAATCAAGCAAGGAGGGACACAAGCTTAGAAAATATTTTTCATTTTTCATGGATAATGAAAGTGTGCTACTTATTCTAGAAGGAATTCCTTACACCATTATATTAATGAACTTTTTATTCTTAATTCTGAAGAGAATCAGTGTCACAAAACACAACACAATCTTAGCTGATTAACTCTTAAGAAAGAGAAACTTAAGACATCCATGGGTTCTTTGCACCCTGCCCAAGCCAGCAACACCAAGCCAGAAGCAATAGAAGCTAAAATCAAAAGGGGAGAAACTCACTTGCTGATTGGCCATAGTGTGATACCACCAGAAGAGTCTCGTGGTGATGTAATATGCCACCACCACGTCCACAGTGTAGTGGTCATGCGCTAAGAGAATACAGAAGATTCCAACTACGCTGAGAAGCCAGCAAATCCAGTGATACCACCAGAGTCGTCGAGGGGAATCTGAAAGGGGGAGAGATTTGCAACAGTCCCATTATTCAAATGACATTAAGGGCACTCAACTATGCCTCTACTAATGCTTCCGAATCCAATTACCTTGAGTCTTCCCTTCTGAAAACAGACCTAGTGAATCTAAGGGCTTTCATTTATCTGTAACCAAGGTTAGAACAGAAACAGCTTTTTATGATGTGATTATACTAGTGATAGTAATTCATATTTGGTTATTGATTCATACAATCATAAATAGTGTTTAAAAGATGAGTCTAATCAGATAAGGACAGGTTAATGCACCATGCTTCATTTTTAAAAACTGTCCATTGACATTTAAATTTACCTCCAGTTAATTTGGGGTTGATGTTCTATATAAAAATCAATACCTTTTGGTCCATAGAGCCTAATACAAGGACTAAGCAGTCATAATTGATTTAACTATACTGCTTTCCAAGTTTTGCAACCATACACTAATCTGAAAGTCTTTGAGATTTTCATTTCTCAAATACAAACAGAAAAGCACCCAGATGCCTGGGAATTCTAGTTCAAGTGCCTTCTCAAAGGCTGAATTGTGTCAGATAAATACTTGTCTGTACCTCCATTTGGGAAATTACCTGAGGAAAACATCAAAATTTCTATTAGTGCAGGCCTTTCTACCTTGGATTCTCAATTGTGGGATTCAGAGGCTCTGCAATGTTAGGCAAAATGTTGTTTGAATATGATCTACACTCTCCACACCAGCATGAGCAGTTCAGGCTTTTATTGGATTCTCAAGGGGTCCAAGAACCAGTCATTCATTCAACCAATATTCACTGAGCCTCTTACATACCAGGGACAGGCAATGCTCTAGGTACCTGGATCAATGAATAAAAAAGGCAAGAAGCCTGCCTTTGTGGGAAGATCCCTTCCTAGTGGGGAAGAGAGATAAGAGACAATACTTATAATAAATAATTTACACATTATGTTAGGTGTTAAAGGCTGTGGAAAAATAATAAAGTTGAGCTGGATAAGGGGGATCAGAAGTATAGGGAGTGAAGGGCAGTTTGCAATTTTAAATGGAGCAGTCAGGGTAGGAATATTCTAGTTACATTAGTATTCGATACCTTGACAATACAAAAACAAGACAATCTCTGTGTGACTCTATAAGTATCCATATATGCCATCTAATTTTAATTTTCATAAACTTTTTCCCACTCCATGAAGCAGATGTGAATATTTCATTCTAAACATGAGGAAACTAAGACTTAGGTTAAAGTTTCTTTCCAGGGTCATAGAGCTAGTAAGTGATAGTACCAAGGCCTCTGCCTCTCAATATGACACGCTGCCTTATTGTCAAGATGGATAAGGCTTGACCCCATTAAAGAATTTCAGGTATCAGGCAGCAGGAGCCAGGAATCCCTCCCCCAGGGCTGCTGACATCTGGCCTATGTGATTCCCACTGTCCACATCCAGTTACATCCCAGTCCAAGGGCTGGATTATGCCCTGACAATTCTGAATAGATCTTGCTAGAATTCACTATATCTGCTCACATACTAAGTATAAGCATTGGAACATCTATTCTCTCTTTTCTACCTCAGTGCCCTGAAGTGCATCTCTCTCCTCTTCCTATATTTCCTTATCTTAGTCTTTCAAGAACAAAACTAGGTTTCGGCCCAGTCCGCTACCTGTTTTCTCTACCCCATAATCCATCCTGTTATCTGCTGACTCTCTTTATTAATGTCTTGAAGTGTCTGCCACTTCTCTCCATCCCTGATGCCATCAGGCTAGTTTCCTTTGTTACTGCAGCAATCTCCTAACTTTTCTTCCCGTCTCCAGTTTTGCCCCCCATCCAGTCCATCCTGCAAGCTGCTGCAAGAGTGATTTTTCTCTCTTCAAAGACAAATGACACTGCCCCACTGGTTACAACCCCTCAATGGGCACCCGATCTCCATCAGCTGAGAGTTCAGACCCTCTTCTCATGGCTTAAGCACCCTCTGTGATCTGGTTCCCACTTACCTGTCCGTTCTCATTATTACCCCTACTCTGAATTCCAATCACTTAAACTCCCACAGAGTACCACATGCTCCCAAGACACCTCCAGAAGGCAAAGCATCTCCCTCCTCTGTGATACCACAGCAGCCTGGTTCTACCCATTGCTCTTCATGGAAACCCTCTGCATAATGCTTATCAGACTGTTTCTAACAATGTGATATTGAGGATAATAAAATTTTCTGTAAGTAGAGAAATGAATAAAAATGGGTAGTTCATTTCTAGCACTGTCATATTAATAGCAATTAAAGTGAATGGACCAAAATCTCATATCTCAAAAACATAATCTGAGGGTAAATAGTGGCAGAAGAATATAAATGGCATCATGCCATTTATGTATATACATTTTAAAAACCACAAAACAATAATATACAAGTACAAAAAAATGGATGGAAATGATATAGGAAAGGAATGAAAAGGCTTTAATCATATATTAACATTTCATTTCCTTTCTAAAAGGGTTACCTGAATTAAATATGACAAAATGCTAATATATATTAAATCTGAGCCATGTATGCGGTATCTATAATATTATTTTGTGATTTCACAATAAAATATTTTAAGTACATTTCTTAAGGGAAATGTCCTATTTAGTATCTGCCTCAGTCCTAAGCCCATAGCCTTGTTGAGGACAGGGATGAGTCTGACCCATCACTGTACCCTCAGGCATGTAGCATAGTGCCAAGTGCTGAAAAAATAGTTGCTGCATCAACACATAATCTACCATCACCCAATCAGGCCTGATCCTGGATTTCTGTGTCCCTTTGAGATTTCCAACTGGCTCCTTAGAGCAGTTGTATAACTGGCTCATGACACACCCTGCAGGCTGTGCTTGGAACTCCCTCCACCCCAGTACTACAGATGACACTCCAGGACACCTCCTCCTCAGGAAGACCAGTTCTGTCCTTCCACATATTTCCCTGGGTGCCAGTTGCATGGTGATGAAATGAAGCTGTGACCCTCCTGAAGCCTCCAGTCTTGCTTCAGCAGATTTTCCAGAAAACGAGTTTTACCAGAGGACCAGAGTTCATGAGAAATGCCAGGTGAGGAAATTACAATGGAAGTCTTTTAGACTTACACTCTTTGATAAATAAGTAGGTGAGTGTTAGCATGACCGTGTGGCCGCTGTACAGATAGTCCCCACACATGTTGTGAGAGCCAGTGATAGACAAGCCACCTCCAGCAATGAGCTTCATTATTCTCCGCAGTTGGGCTTCCCAGTCTCCAAAAAGCTGACAGAAAAGAAGAAAAAGAAGATTCATTACAAGCCCACATGAAAATATGCTAAGATGACTATTCATATCCAGAATTAAGCTTATATTAAGACACATAAAATCCCCACCATGAAGTTTGCCCACTCAGCGTTTACCATTCCAAGAGTAGCCCTTGGGGGGAAAAAATGGTCCTACAGATGAATCATGTGGCTTCAGGACTTTTCAAAGTTAACACTTTTTAAAGCACATGTCAGTAGATGTTTACCCAGTTTTTCAAAAATTACAATGATAGAGAAACACTACTTCTATCTGACTGACTGAATAATTGCTTTAGTATAACTATCATTTAGGGAAAGAAAATTTAAATCTATAGTCTAGGAAAAATTTAAAGATGTATTATTACCATGGTTGGCCTAGAAGACAACTGTCCTACTAACTTGGCTAAAGGTTGGGGTAGTCAAATATATGAATATTTTTGGTATGTGGATGTTTAGGGATCATGTTGAAACAAGGGATGTGCCTTTAATCTTCTCAAATTACTTGGGGAGCATTGGATAATTTTCCAGATTATAAATTAATTTACCTGTCTATGATACAAGTCTGTGCTCAGCACTAGAGTAATAAATAGCTTCAACAACTCATTCAATGCAACCTTTATTTGCTCTGTCAAGTAAAATGTGTGACTGTCTATATTTTCTGTTTGCCAGTACTCTTTGAAATTCTGGTTGTCCAATTTAGTTACCATGATCCCTTTTCAATATTTAACTGATAAGAATCCAGCTTTGGGAAGCACGTTTTATTATAATTTCCTTTAAAAAAAATTATCAAGACTTCTGATTAACGATGGAAGGATGATATGTCAGTGAAGTGTGGGAAATTTAAAAAAAAAGGTAGATTGAGCACACCACACAGGATATAAATTTCCAAATCCAAAGTGATCACTCAATGCCCAACATAATGGAAGAAAACAGACCTACATACCAAGACTCAGCATCATAGGATTTCAGAATCTGGGGACTAAGAAGAGACTCCAAAGCCTCCAGAGATTAAAAACAAGCTTTATATGAGGGATCATTAGAATAAGACTTTTCAAAAGTCACACTGAAAAACAGAAAACTTCGAGAAAATGCCTTTAGATTCTGCGGGGAAACGATTTCCCACTTAGAATTCTGTACCCAGCCATATTACCACTAAGCATAAACTAAAGGATAAACTAAGGATAAATTAAAGCCTTTTTCATATATACATGATTTTAAAATATTTACCACTTATATACTCTTTTCCAGGAATCACACAGGGTACAGTCTCGATAGTAAGGGAGTAAACATGGAGAAAAGAAGAAACAGGACTCACTAGGATGCCAATAAAGGAGAGATGAAGGACTGCGCAGTAGCTCACAAGTTTGGGCTGGAAAGTAAGCTCTGGAGAGATGTCACCACGGAGATGAACTCAACAGAATACCCAATGCCTCTGGCTATATTGAGAGGAGTTTCATAATTTGGGGGTAAGTGCAAAGAAAACTACTAAAGCTAAAAACCAAGGCAATTACTAACTCTACAGGAAACAAAATGTTGTGCAGAGAAGGAAAGTAATTCTAGGAAACTACATGTCTTGGCCATGAATAGCATTTACAGAACTGTAATAATGTAAGCACTGCATATTGAGCTAAACAAAGGACAAAGAACGGCACAGCAAAGACAGGATAGGAAGCCTGAACATGTGTAGTGGAGATGGGGTCACAGAGTAGGGATCATGAAGGAGGAGTCACAGAAGGACACTAAAGCTTTGCCTTCTACAGTGGAAGGCAGTAACAGAGAATGCCTATATTCAAAAATTACAGAGTAGCAATATCTCATGTCATGTGGAGACACAAAAGTAAACACATTTTAAAAATCTAAAAAAAAGAGTGAATGACATAGAGTTAAATAACACAAAGTTCAGCTAGAAGAGTTGAAGCAGAATAGGAAAAGGCACTGGTGGGGTCAGGACCAGGAGACTATTGTTTTTTCACATCAAGTTGTGTAGAACTATTTTATTTTTTAAATTGCATGCCTGTATAAACATGATACTTTTTTTTTAAAGTTTCAAATTAAAAGTTTGTTCTAGTTCTGTTATAACAATGGATAAAATGTAGAAGAAAATTATGGCAAAAAAGCTTGGGTATTTCTTCATTTTACATTATTTCATAATGCCCTTCTAACTCTGTTTTAAAAATGATAAATCATATCCTCGAGACAGCATCACCCATAATTTGTCCTCTCATTTGAGCATGAAAATCTTTGTGGAGAAACCATGTGTTTGGGCAGAAGGGAGAAATTATCAAGTAAACCTGGCACTGAGGAAAAAAGCAAAAATTTAATGTTGTATTTCTCACAGGTGCCCTTAAAGCCCCTACGCTTCCTTTTAAAAATATCTTCCTATGTTTATCAAACTTCTGCAAAGGGAAAACCTCTTTAAGTTTAGTGGGAAATAGAAAAAGAGAAAGAAAATGTTAAATTATGTTTAAAAAAAGCAAACAAAATACAAGACAAATTACAAAACAGTTGCAGCAGAAACAAGTTAGTATCTGTATTGTTTACACAGCAGAGAAGTCAAGTAAAGTAAGACCAACTTAGGAAACAAAATTTATCAAAGGACCAGGGATGTGACCAGATACAGGCATAAACTCTGTCAAACAAATATAAATAAAAATGAACATAAGGGGAGCTCATTTTCACATGTTGAATTAGCAAAGCTTAAAAGGAAAAAGAGTGAGCTAACGGTGAGGCAAGCACAAGCAGAGTGAGACTTGTTTAAATGGAGGGGATAGGGGGAAGCAGTGGCTGTCTCCGAAGTAGTGCAGGGGAAGAGCAGGCTGCGAAACAGATACCTGGGAGTAAAATCACAGCTCTTTGAACGATTTGCTGTGTGACCTCATACAGCTGAACCATTCTAAGCCTCGAATGAGGCTCAGATATAAAGAATATATTTATTATCATTGGCAAAATCTGAGAAAATAATCATCAATAGTTTACCAGCAATTTAAATAGTCATAACTTCTGACCCAGTTACATTGCTTCTAGGAGTCTACCCCAAAGAAATAATACCAAATATGAAGAAAAGTTCTATGTGCAAAAATATCCCACCATCACACTAATTACAAAAGCAACAGGCTGGGAGTGATGGCTCATTTCTGTAATCTCAGCACTGTGGGAGAGTTGCTTGAAGCCAGGAGTTTGGGACCAGCCTGGGCAACATAGCGAGACCGTCTCTATAAGAAATTTAAAAGTAAGCTGGGTGTGGTGGCATGTGCCTGTAGTCCCAGCTACTTGGGAGGCCAAGGCGGGAGGATCCTTTGAGCCTAGGAGTTCAAGGCTATAGTGAGCTATAATCATACCACTGCACTCCAGCCTGGGCAACAAAGTGAGACCCTGTCTCTAAAGAAAAAAAGCAACAAACTGGAAACAACCTAAATGGGAACTGTTAAATAACTGTTCAAAACCTGGTCTTTCCGGGGACAGTATTGGCAAGATGGGGTGCCTGCTGTAAATGCATTCTCAGGTCCCAAGGTAGACCAGTGAACCAGAATCTAAGGTAACTTAAATGCACACTAAGATTTGAGAATCCCTGAACCAGGCTACAGCTGCTTACCAAATTATTTAAAAATAAGTTTACAGTGACTGTATAGTAAGTTTAGATTATAAGCATATTCCTCTATTAAGAGAAAAAACAGGAAACACAATGTTTGGTATAACTATAACTGTTTTACAAACACTATGCGCAGAAAAAGTCTAGAATGTAACATATTAAATGTTAACAGGGTTAGCATAGAAACTGGTAGGATTTCTTCCAGTCTGTCCTGGTGCGGCTTCCCTTCCTCTCCTTTGGCCAGAAAGAGAGGGATTCCCTTGGAGCTCTGTCTGTACCCAGAGTGCAATTCTGGGATGCGCACTGACTTTGAATCCAGGCAGGAAATGTGAATGGAAAAAAGAAAAGAACAAAACAAAACAGGAAACTCTGGACTGGGTCTTTCATACCTTGCATTTTGGTTTCCTTCCTCCATCTGCCCGCTATCATTTGCTTTTGATTCCTCAAATAGCTGATCCATATATTCTGCCCAGTGTTTTTTGGCTGCATTCAGTGCGAAAGAAAGATGGAGTGTGCTTACTCTATTATAACTGGAATTGCAACCTTGCCTATCAGTAGCTTTGGAATGTCTATTTTTGAAAGCAGAGATAATTTAAGGGAGACATAAAAACTTTCAGTGGATACTACAAAGCTGTGACAAGAAAGTCTCATATCTCTACCACTTTGTGCATTATGGTTTCCCAGGGTCACAGAAAACCAATAACCAGTAAAAACAGGCAATATTCTTCAAATTCTAATGAACTATCAAGAAATTAGGTGAACTGGCCAAATCACTTACACAATACCAAAGCATAGAAAGAAAGAGCAGAAGGAAGAGGGAAAGGCTTCTGAATAAGACACACTGTCAAGTACATTTAGAACCAGCGAGCCTTTGGTTATGGAAGACACAGGTTTCCCCAGTGTTTTCTCACTGCTAACACAATGTACTGATGACAGTCTGTTTGCCATCGTTCAGTTTGCAGATGGCCTAGAGCACTGGCTTTTCCTAACTACATTTGCAGAGCAGGGGTACTGACTGTACTTCAGCCCTACTAGGAGGAAGGGGGTAACCTAGAACTAAAACCCATCAAATAATGCTGCGCAAACCAATGGCTTTCATAGCTTTGACGGCTTTGGTATAGCTTTGTTGAAGAGCTGAAAGTGAGTACTGAGGACTAGAAATGCTATTTAAAATAAGCATTGACAATGGCTAATGCTGCAGCTTAGAGCAGCCCAGGAAAGTCAGCAAGGCAGACCCTATCTACTGTAGGCCTCCAGTGTTGGAGCCAAGACTGGAATCCAAGTCCCCTGACTATTTAAATGTGCTATTTACAAAACTATATGCTGCCTTGTACAAGCTTGTCTCTCACAAGCTTGGATAAACCAGGAACTCAATACATATAAAGGAACTT